AGGTAGATCTTGTCTTTCATAAAGGCCGAGGTCAGGGATCTTGGGCCTAAAAAGGTTGGTGACCACTGCTGTAAATGAACAGGTTAAAAAAGATTAACTGATTCGAATTTATGTATGCTACAGTTTATATATAAAAATTTATTTTTGTTGTATTTTCTGTGAGTTTAACTGTTCAGTGAGATGGACAGAGACATATTCAGTTCAAGTGTTTTGTCATTCAACAAGGACAGTTAAAAAAAGGATTGAAAATTGTTGATTTACTTACTGAGAGTAAATGTCCCTGAGAGCAAAAACGTCAACAGAATGAAACACAATAAAACAAGGCTGACAGTTTTATGCCCATCATCTCATAAACCTGACCTTACTTCCAAATGAGAAAATGCATTTTATATATATATATATATAATATAGTGCCCTTTTGTTCTTTGAGTTACCTAATATTTTGCATAAATTATGCTCTCAGTACTTTATTCAGTACACTCAAATTTATGTGAAAGTGATCTGAAATGCTTAGTAAAATTACAATGTTTTAGAATCTTACCAAAATCTCAATGAGCCGCACGTCTCAGCCCAGTCTATCGAGCAAATACACACTCAAACACACACACTCTCTCTTTCTTACACAGACACATTACTTACTAAACAGACTGGCTCTTAGTCTGTGCACATAAATCAAGTGTTTAAAACAGGCATTCAGCCAGATGCCCCATTTACGGCCCCCTTTCCCATCCCGATCCACAGGGAAACAACATCATCCTCCCCAAAACCCAATTGGGACCCCTGAGAATCACACAAAATGGCTCAAGACGCTTCCCACATCGGAACAGCTTTGTACAAAGTGGAGAAGTGACCCATTCGGACACCCTTGCAATGTTCTATTCTCCAACCTGGCCTTATGCCACATTCACCCTCTTGAGCCTTACACCGATCCAATGGAAAACCGCAAAGAGTGATACAAGACACACAAAATTAGTTCTGACATAGTAGAGGTTAGAAACTGTGCCATGTGGAAACACAGAGCTCATGGGTTATTTGCCCAATAAGAAAGTAATAAGACACCAGTGACTGTTTGTGAAGCATTCATTTGTTCATGGTATCAGAATTTCTGCTGCCTCATGGAGTTCAGCTTTAAAAAAGCAGGGGAAAAAACTTTACAAAGATTAAAACGCACAAGTTTTTTTGCACACTCTGCATCTTGTGTCAGTCGGCATCTTGGCACACGTCACCAAATTGCTTCATTAGTGGAAGCAGCAAGGTTATTTTTAAAGATGATTTATGTAAACAGATTAAGCAGCCAACCCCAGGTCTTACAGTAATATATTGAAAATCTACACACTAACAACTGCAAAACACATATTTGTACAGAAGGGCTGGTCACTGAGTTTGATTCAATGCCCGTGAGCTCTGATCAGAACAACAGCGTCTCATGCTGGATAAGAGATATTAGTGCAGATCTTCAAGACAGACCTGCATCCCCAGTGGACCTGTTGGCTGGCTATTACAAGTTAACAAAATTTTAAAGGGGTCATTGATTATGATTTCACCTTTTTAACTTTAGTTAGTGTTTAATGTTGTTGTTTGAGCATAAACAACATCTGAAACGTTACAATGCTCAAAGTTCAATACAAAGGGAGATATTGTCTTTTACAGAATTCCCTTTTTAAAGGGAAAAATTAAAGAAAAACTCATCACTTAATGTATTGAAAAACAAAACATATTTATCTAGAATGTAATTATTTAATTAATAATTCAATTATGAAATTAAATACATCAATTGTGAAATAACTATAAAATACAAAAAATGAAATAGTTATGAATGATTATAAAATCATAGTAAGTATTTAATTATTCATTGTGGATACATTTCTGTGGGTTTAGGTCAGCTCTGGGCTATTATTTGTTCTGTAAAAAAATCTTTCACTGTGGCCTCCAAACAAAAGAATTAGACATTTATACCAGTAAAACATCATAACTCCTGAACTTGCATTCATTGGTCGGTAGAAGTGTACCACAGCTATTCATAACACGTGATTTGCATTTGTCTCTTTTTAAGTTTGTGAAGTTGCAACAGGTCAAATAACCTCCCTATGCCAGGCTTCTTTTTAGACGGTTGGTGTGTTGCATCGACCCAAACCTAGGTAGTCAGGAGAGCATCTGGCTTACTGATTGGCTGAATTGTGTCATGTGTTTGTAAATCTGGCTGACACAAGATAGTCCCGTGAAATAGTCTGTCTGTACTTGAGGGTGTTGAAATATACATATGTGACTTACCACACTGTTTGATATTACACCACTGCTCTCCTTCTGTAAAGATCTATCTATCTGTCTATCTATCTATCTATCTATCTATCTATCTATCTATCTATCTATCTGTCTGTCTGTCTGTCTGTCTAAAAGTGTCTCTACAATAAGATTTTACTAACAGGACTCATGTATTTTATTGGGTGTCGATCAGATTTAAGACTAAATTTAAAATGAATATTTTCTTATAGTGTGCACTAGATGTCTCTCTCCACCATTGTATATTCCAATTGGTAACATTTGCACAGAATTAGACATTGAAGTTTTGTGATACAGTCAAGCACTCATTTTATTTCATTCTCGTGTGCCATAGTCGGATTTGGCAGTATGACTCAGGGCTTATTATGTCATTGTAAGGATATAGTCTCGTATCTTCATGCCACAGAAGCAAAAATGTTTTGGGATAAGGTCAGTCTAAATCCTTGCAGATGTTATTCTACCACAAATGCCACGAAAATGTCTATGTGTAAGTTAAAGTATATTAAATGCATTTTGTAGTCAAGTGGTGTTAATGAAGGATATCGACAGGCCAGCACACTAATACCTTCATGCATTAAGCTAATAACTTAATTCAGTATATTTTAAACTATACATTTCATACCAATGTTACATATAGCTAAAGGAAAAAAACATGACACGGGAGTAAAAAATACATTTCAAATACGTTTTTTGCGTTCTTTCGCAAAACCTTTGGGCTCACTAGAGAGACTTGCGTTAGCCAGCAAAACTGGGGGTCAAATGAGTTTGTGATCAAATGAAACGCTTTGCTAGCAAATTTTTTTCGGTGAAACGCAAACGTTTTGCGAGCGAACGCAGTTTCTCTGGGGAACGCGAAGCTTTAGCGAGAGAACGCAAAAGCGTAGGAATGTAATTTCCCCTCCTATATCTCATATTTTCTCATAACATCCCCGTTCCCTGACTGGAGTCAAACCCATGGTCTTGGTGTTGCCACCTTTAGAGAGAGAGAAGGAGAGGTCTTTTGCATGTTCGGACCCTTTCCTAGTTTTCGTGCCCCACTGGGCTGATAACCTCTAATCACCAAAACATACAGTCGAAACAGCTTCAACATCTGCACATCAATAAGAAAGGTGCTAAGGTATTGATCACTGAGGTGGACATCTGTCCATGCACATCAATCAATCAGAGTGTGTCGTCACTAAATCGTTAATCAAATAATGATGGTGATAAAATCACGAAACTATGAGAGAAATAGGGAAGATCTGATTGAGAGAGAGAAGATGTCAGTTTTAATTAGTATAACTTGCATTAAGGACTTTGACATGGATTGGATGGCCTGAAGTTGGAGTGCTTGTAAAACCAGATTATTCTATCATGCACCGCAGTCATGTATGGGATGGGGCCAAAGAGCCATTTGGACATTTGGACCATGGTATATACACCAGACACTGTTGGATCGTAATGGTAGTGTTATATACATTTTTATAAATTGTTAGTGTCAGTGCTAAGTTTAGATTCATGGTTTATTACAACCATCAGGAAATAAAGATTAACTTTACCCATGACCTACATTCACAGGGCAAACAACCACGCTCAATAGATGAAAGATTACCCAGCTGCGTTACCTCCATCTGAATGAAGAAAACCTAACATGTACAAGTCTTAAAATAAAAAATTATATAAACTACCACCATTACTACACCCAAGAGGATGTCAGTTTAACAAATCCACGATAATTGAGTAGATAATCACACGCGAGTGCGATATAATTTGCACCGACAGGGGTCCACGGTACTAAATCTATTCAAGTGATGATTGGTCGACACAAAAATGTGCTGCTCGGTTATTGGTTGGGGTGTGGAATATGCAAATAAGCGGTACTAGGATTTATTAGTAAAGGACTCGCAGTGTGTGTTCAGCGTGGAGTGGGTGTGTCGGCAGAGGACAGGCTAATCTGGGGGTGAACCCTTGAAATCACGAATTTTTACTTTAAATTCAGCGCTCTGGAATTGCGTATAAATCCTGTTTCTCCTGCAATGTGCTTTGCTCAAGAGACCACTTTAAACTGAAGCACTTTCTCCATGAGTTCCACAAGGTAAGAACGTTATTTAACCCAGTAAATTTTAAAAATGCAAAGTGTTTTCTGGTGCTTCTAGTACAGTTAGCGACATGTCGACTATCGTAAATATTTGTTTAAAACAAAAACCCTTTTGTGATGTATTTTAGTGTATATGTTTAATGTATTTTTAATGTAATTTTTTATTTATTTTTTTATAACAAAAAGTGTTCGAATGCCGAGGGTTGTTATGGTTACCTGCTTGGGCAACGCGAAGTTCGCGAATCACTTTTTTCCATATCTTTTGTGGTTACTGAAATGTTTGAAACCCTAAGTGAAGCACATACATTTATTTACATGTGAAATCAAAATGTATATACATACATTTGCATGTAAAATACTTTTAAGAGCCCTACAGCCTACAACAAGGAAGTTTTGACTTCCTGTGGGGGGCTCAAGGGCCACTGTCACAATCATTTGTCATTTCCAGTCATGTCTAATTTGTGTTGTGTTGCTTCATAAAGGCAAATTGTTTCCTCCTAGAATATCATTTTGTAGCAGAATATCTTTTAAAACTTTTTTTGAAACTTCCTTTGACTTTTTGAAACATTTTAAAGACATTGTACTCACACATCTGGGTTGTCTTTTGTCTGTATGTGTTTAGAGTTCTTCATCTCCTCAGTCCTCCAATGCCGGGTCCAGTTATGCCCGTGGATGTGGCTGTGCAGCTGTACATCACCCATTCTCCCCCACTGCGCAGCTTCCTGAGCTCTTATGAAGACTACAGGACACGCAACCTGGTCAACACCTGCTACAAACCCCTCCGGCCCTGCTTGAGCTCTAGAGCGCACCTGGAGCCCCCTCGTCTGGACTGGCAGACCCCAAAATCCAAGGCCAAAAAGAAGGTTGTGTTTGCCGACTCAAAGGGTATGTCATTAACCGTGGTGCATGTCTTCTCAACTTTCGAAAACAAAGAACCTGTTACATCCGAACTGCAATTTGACCTGGAAAACTTAGAGGACGTCACAGGAACTCTCCATATAAATTCAGTCCAGAGCAGAATTCTAGATTTTCCACAGCCAGCAGCAGACTACCTAGATTTTCGTAGTCGGCTGCTGAAGAACTTGGTTTGTTTGGAGAACTGTACCCTACAGGAGCGAGCCCTCACTGGCACTATCAAAGTGCGTAACCTGGCCTACGAGAAGTTGGTTCATGTGCGAATCACTTTCGACACCTGGAAGAGCTTCCAGGATGTGGAATGCACGTTTATGAATAATGTCTATGGTTGTCAGGATACAGACACATTCTCGTTTGCCATTGAACTGCCTGGGTATGTGCCCCCTCAGAATAAGGTCGAATTTTGCATTAGCTACAGAACTGGAGAGCAGACCTACTGGGACAACAACGATGGCAGAAACTATGGACTGGTTTCAACATCTTGGCAACAAAACAATACATGGAATTCCACAAACCAGGGAAAGAAACTGAATGAATCCAGAAAGTTAGGCAGGAAAACACAAGACAAGGAAGTTTATAAATGTAAAAGTCCGCTCCAATCCAATGGCATTTTCCCAAACTGGCAGAGTTGGGGGCACATTGCAACCAGTGGCCCCTACTGGTGACTTGAGCTCACGTAATTAACTATCCAAATGTGTTGAAAGCTTTTAGCACCAATATATCTCTCGGTATGACAACAGAAGAAGATTAACATTCTCTTAAGAGCTCTTAATATGATTTACCTGCTGATTACTTTACAAGCAGACCTAGATCAGCTGTCTGTTAGCAGATTAAAGAGGGGACAGAGACTGGTTGAAATGGTCACATAGAGTGAACCTTGTTTCTTTTAGATGGAACATGTTGCTTCCGTGCAATACAGCATGTTTTATTCTTTTGAGTAAAATGTGCGATGACCCCTTTCATGAAGCGCTAGACCGCTAGGAGGTCTCGAGTAAACACTATATAACATCTTTGTCGGTTCATTGTATAAAATGTGCCTTTGTCATAAGTGTGCTAAGATCATTTTTTGTTATGCTGCTGCCATTGTGTGCCACATCTGCAGACTGTGCACTATAAAAAATGATACCAAGTGAAAATCAAGTCTGATCATTTGAAGAGGATATATCTGTGTCACTAGCCAATTTTCAGCAGATTTCCAGTTGAAGATTCTATTATGGAAGAGATGAACAGTTGGTATGCAACCAACCAGTGAGATTGTCCTTCATATTGAAGGGGTAACCTTTACTGGCTACAAACTTTCAGAAGGAAAAAACAAAGAAATATTAATATTTATCATATTTAATATGTACTCCATGAATAAACCAGCCTTGAAATAAATTTAGTTTTATTTTATCAAGTTTTAATCTGCAAGATGCACGCATGTTTAGGTGTCTCTTTTTTTATTAATTTTTGTGTTGGATGTGTTAGAAATGTAATGCAACTGAACGCAATAAGCTAAACAAATGGCCTGATAATGGTTTTTGTGCATTAGGATCTGCTCAGCAAATGTCATTGTAAAGCAAGTAGTGTCTTTTGTTGGGTAATTTTTATATTTTAAGTGCAATTCAGTGAAAATTAGTGGAATTGGTTGTGATGTCATGTTCAAATCAGATGTGAAAAAATGGCTGCATTTTATGAAAGAAATAATTGATGTCTTGGTAAATGAGTGTGTATTTGGTGTGATTTTTCTAAAATAAAAATTTCACATTTTCAGATTCTGTTTCTCAATAACTGTAGTCAGAATGTGTGAGAATATGTCTGATCTGTCCAGTGTAGACTTCATACTTGCTTGCCAAAGTGATAACAATATGGTTTTGGTGGCAATTAAGCAGGTCTCATAAAAAGCATTTATAGGACAAAACACAAGTGACATTGAGAACTGAGTTCCTTTACTATTGTAGAGTTTATAAGCAAACTGAGTGCTACGTTGACTAAAGTATTAAAGTTAAACCCTCAAGCACCTTAAAAAATGAGAATAATAAAGCAGATTTCTGAGGAGACGAGAATGGTCAAGTTGATGCGGTAGCTTGACACCTGGGCTTTATGAATATATCCATATAAATCAAGGCTTATGAATTGCTTTTATCTGCATAAAGCTCTCTTTAAAATCATAGTAAGTAGTTTCATTTGAAGCAGCCAGAGGTTCAATGTTAGCTCATGGTCTTCTCCACTCAATGAGGAATGCAGAGAATGTAGAGAGCTCCATTTTCCACTTTCCTGAATTTTTTAAAAGCACTCACACACATATATGAAACCACTCTGTTAGGCAGAGAAAAGGGAAGCAGATTTAGACACCAGATCTCTGATAACCCTGGATATGAACACACTGCCTGATCATGTACTGAACACAGTTCAAAAATACCTACCCTCATGCCAAGCCTATTTTGGCTGATCACCATTTATTAAACCAGTGAACAGAGGAACATCATGTAGAGGTTTTTTCAGGTTACTCCAATATCAGTTGCAGTGTACACACTGTGAAAACCCAAATAGCCAGTTATGAATATAAAAAAAAACTAAAAGTAGCACTGTATGATATAAGAAGGATACAAGGAACATAGCATGCTTCTGTAGGGAAATTGAATTGGGCTAAAGAAAAAATCCACATCTTTTCAAGACTTTCAAAAAGATGAAAAAAAAAATAGAGAAATTGATAAGAAAAACAAACAATGTCAAATTTACAGTCATTCCCAAAGTTGCTGTATTAGGAACAACCTTACAACAACGTTAACCTGTTTTTTTTTATTTGATGCAAAGGAAATATAATATCAAGTGTAGTGCTATAAATGAAGTTTTTTAAAAATGAAAATATACAAAAAGTTACTGGATTCACGAAGCTGATGACCGTTGAAACGCACCATCACAGACTGTAAAAGGGTCCATTATAATTTTGCTACAGTAATTATTTTGGAGTCCATGAACTATGCTGCTTATTTTAAAGGAAAGTCTTGAAGTGAGTCTCTTTACATCTTTAAAGAGCATAACAAGGTGCATCATGAAAGATGGTAAAAAGTCACAGAGGAATTTAAATGTGTGGTATAAGCTATGTACATCCCTTTGCACAAACACATCCATTCAAATTGCATATCAAGTGGCCAGCAAGTATCTCACCTTATTCTTGTGTGCCCATTCAAAGTTGTCATTTTTATGTGTTTGTCTCTGTCATTTGGACACCATGACCTTAGAAATAGGCTTTACTGGCTCAGACTGAGGATTTTTCAACTATGTGAAATACTGTTGGGAAAATGATTCAGCACTTTCCTACAACAGGCTTGCAGTTGCTTACAAAGATAATGGTTTCTTGTAGCAAAAATGTTTGTCATAGCAAAAAACGTTCATGATGTATGAATCTGTATATGTGTAAAAAAAAGTAGTATGTGGATCAGTTTTGTAAAAACTAATTTAGCGTTTCATATTCTTAAATGTAATTGTCAGCTATACAGGAATCATGCAGAGTCTCACCACTACCTCACCCTGTCTCTGCAATCTTTTTGTCTCCAAACCTTCAGGCGAAGCAGGACATTCGCATCCATTTTTCAAGATTCTAAAACTGAAATTATGCAAACATTAGAGGGCTGAGAGAGAGAGAGTTGGTCTGGGGCAGGAGCCATAAACAGGTCTCAGAGATGGCAGTAGAACAGTGCAGCATTCACAATCAGTCAAGAACAAGGGCTCTCTTACTGAGTGAGAAGGGAACTGGAGCGGAGTATGGAGTGGATTTGTCCATACAGCTGTGATTTCCTGCTCTGCAAAGCACTCTGTAACCACAAAGGGCACAGAAAATGTGTTTTTCCCCAGGTGTTGGCTTTACCAACTCAAAGATTATATTTGCTTTTTTATTTCCTGTGCACAAATTGCAAACATGTGGGTGAGGATGCATGCACTCCGTTTTGCTTGATTCAGTTTCTGTCTGTGTAACATACACATCCTTGTAAGTTGTTTTTTATTGTTTCCTTGCTATCCTGCTATTCTGACATAGCAGTTTACATAATGCGATATCTGATACAGTACTTTAGTAGAGCGTTTGTAGAGCTATTTTTAGAGAGGCATATACTGCAGCTGTTGACACCACTGGTCACCAGTGCCAGCAGTCCATAGAAACCTATGACACAGATTTAAGACTACTCTCCTTCAAAAACGGATTCTGTCGGACTGTAACAAAGCTTTCATTAATTCTAGCTCAGTGATGGACACCACCCTGTTTACAGTTTGCTTTTGCCAGTACTTGGTCAATGAGCCATTGTTTAAGTATGAAGTCATTCAGCAGCAGAAATGGCTTGAAGACTGTGAGTTTGGTCTCTGGCAATTTACATCTCATTTTATAAGGTGCTGGTTCTGGAAAATATTATTTATTTTGTTCCATTTAGCTGAAAGAAGTTGTTTTTTGCTGAAACTCCCAATCAGAGCTTGTATACATGTACAAAACTCAGAACTTTGTTTTCAAGTAGAAAATATGGATGAGTCACAATTCTAGTGGTGCACAAGCATATTTTAAAAATTTTAGTAGGTTACACAAATATGGATACAACAATAATGACACAGAAGAATGATTTCATTGGAAATCACTTTCAAAATGATTTTTTTTCTAGTTGATGAGTGCTAAAAAACATTGATAGCCAATCAGAATCCATCTAACTCTAAAAAGCTTGGCCACCAATTGGTGTGGGCCACTAATAAGCCTATTAGTTATAGTTATTAGTTAGCTCTGTTATTAATTACTGTTCTTGGTGAGAACAGGCCTTAAGACATTACTCTAACCCTGTTTTTGTCAGGTAAAGTTTTGAACGTCTGTTAGATTTATACTTCTAAAGTGGACTTTTGGGAACTTTCTGGAATTCATTAAATCTATTTTTAATAATAATTGACTATATAAGCATGTTTCCATAAACCAATGATGGACATAAAATGCAAAAAAATATACTTAAAGGGATAGTTCACCCCAAAAAAATTTGATGTTGATCTGCTTATCTCCAGGGCATCCAAGATGTAGGTGACTTTGTTTCTTCAGTAGAACACAAACAAAGATTTTTAAAGTTTTTTTTATTTTTAACGTTGCAGTCTGTCAGTCATATAATGTCAGTGGATGGGAATCACGGCTTTGAGTCAAAAAAACATACACAAACAAAACCAAATTAAACCCTGCGGCTCGTGGCGATACACTGATGTGTAAAGACACGAAACGATCGGTCTGTGTAAGAATCGTTTTGAATCGCAATGTCCGAACTGTTCTGGACCATTGACACTCCTAATTGAGATTGTAGATAGAGAGTCAATGGTCCATTTGAGAGATAGTGTGTAAAGATTTTATCTTTGTGAACTGAAACTGGTTCAGCAGTGAAGAACACATGCTTTGTTCTATGGACTGAAGTGAGGCCAACAGAAATAGAAGAAAATCTTATCCTCAACCACTTCAGAGCTGTGCAATCTCAGAGTTGCAGTCACACACACACACACACACACACACACACACACACACACACACACACACACA